GCCCCAAGTGCCTGTATTGGGTCTAGCACCCATTGGACGATCAGGCCTGTGTTTTCCAAGGTGCGCAGAGCCAGAAGTGAGTCCAGAGCCTTGGATGGTGGCAGCGGGAACCCCAGGCTAGCGGGGGTGCTCCAGGGAAGGGGTCGGCCGGACGGGAGGCACCCCAGGGAGGCACTCGGAGCCTGGAAGGTGGTCGGGTGCAGGGAGGTGGGCCGCTCAACACTGGAGCACCCCCTACTGGCCCGCCACAAGCACTTCCTTGTGGGCCAGGCAATGAGCCCCCAAGCTGAGGATCACCCGTCTGTCACAGCCTCTCATGTCACTGGACCATGTGCCACATCCTGTCTTGCAGTTGCAAGGTGCTAGCATCACACCATCACTCCCAGGCTGGAGGTAGTGGGTCTCCCATGTCTGTGGTGGGGACCCCAGGACCCAGAGAGTTGCAGAAATGTCCCATGTGGGGGGGGGGTCCCCATCCAGTCCTTGATTAATCATGGGGACTGGGGCACCTGTGTCACTGGTTACAGGGTGATGGTGCTAAGGATTTACACTGTGTGCTCTCCTCCTGCCTTCCCAGGCAAGAGAAAGGGAGAAGCTTGATTTGGGAAAGACCCTCGTCCAGCTGCCAGAGAGCAGATGACCAGCTCCCTGCTTCAGTGCATCTCTGAACCTGTACACTGGCACCCACCCCAGCTGCCCTGCCCCTGGCACCCCCTGAGACTGCATGTTAGTGCCCCTCCCTGCGTTGACATGCAGGGTGGAGAATGGGCACAGTGCATTTTTATATTTCATCTGTCTCATCTGTGTCCTGGTATTCTGTATTTTATGTTTTATATCTTTTAACTTTTAATGAATGTATTCCGTAGAGTAAGTCATACCTTGTATTACTAAAATGATTATTATAAGACTACATTGGAATTGTAATCACTGGACTTGTTTTGCTATATTGCCACAATGGAGGGCAGAGCTGCGGCAGTGGGGCCGCTGTGTAGCGTGGAGCCGCAGGGGCAGGGGC